GAGCTAACTTTTGTGCATGGTATGAGGTAAGGGTCCTGCTTCATTGTTGTATGTGACTTTCCAATTACTACAATTGTTACAACATATTGTGTTAAAAAGACTATTTGTTATCTATTGAATAGTTATCTCAGTAATTAACACTCCCAATTGTCCAACCCCAAAATTCAGTAGTTATCTTTGAAATTATTCACTCCCTCATCTTTCACATCTATCAGCAAGTTCTGAAAAATCTATCTGAAAAACATATTCCATATTCATTTACTTCTGTTCTATCTCCATTGCTACCCCCTATACCATCATCTTTACCTAGACAACTATAGTAGTCACCTAACTGGTTCCTTACAAAGCACTTTCTCCACATAGCAACAGATGTGGTCTTTGAAAAATACAAATTTGACTATGTCACTACTTTGCAACAGCACCCGATTGCTAATAAAATAAAACTTAAAATCATTATCATGGCTTGCTAAACTCTGCACAATGTAACTGATCCTTATTTATCTCTCAAAACTCATTTCTTCTTGTTCAATATGCTCTAGCCATACTGTCTTTTTTTATTTGTCAAACATACTGACATCATTCTTATCTCAAGGTTGTGCTTCAATTTACATGGCAATTCTCTTATTATAGCTGTTTCCTATGCATCATTCAGGCATAACCTTAAACATTCATTAATTGGAATCCTGATGATCATATGTCCTGATCATAATATCCAAGACTCACCCTTGTATCGAAAAATACATTTAAAAAATTCCACTAAAAACTCAACAAGATGAACATAATCCAATTTAAAAAAATGAACAGGCATGTCAAGAAAGATGGTATAAGAATTATGGTCTCAGGAGTTCCAGTAAGATGGTGGAATAGGCAGGCAAACTACACCGACCCTCTTCAACAAAGAAATAACAGATACAGAAGATAATCCTGGAGCCCTGAGCTTTGAAAGGAAGTACACAGAAGTGAACTAAACTCCAACTAGTAGAAGAACCTGCATGAAAACAGGGATAAAGAACACATACAGAACTGCAGACTATAAGCAATCCTGATGGCATGGACAGCTTGAGTATTGCCAAGTGGTGTTAGGACCTAAGA